TTTCGATTTAAAGCTTTCGTGACTGCAATGATTCATCTTCTTTGGTTCTTTCGGTAAAGTCACGTAGAATGAGAATAAAATAATAAATTGATAAAATAAAATAACACAATAATATTCTCACGACGTTTCGGCCACAACACAAGCGGCCTTCATCAGGTGAAGGGACGAGACTGTCTGGTAGGACAGCGCTGGAGTGAAAGAGCCACGTTCAGATCACGGCCTTTAAGCTGTGTGAGAGGAACAAAGCAACTTAGAGTCGCGGCATCTCTTCAGAAAGGTGAGAGACTCGATTAGTTGAGCCTTCTTATCCCGAAGTCTGTTGAATGATCTTAAGGATGTGTGGAATCCCTCCCCGTAGAGGCGGTTAAATTTCGATTTAAAGCTTTCGTGACTGCAATGATTAATCTTCTTTGGTTCTTTCGGTAAAGTCACGTAGAATGAGAATAAAATAATAAATTGATAAAATAAAATAACACAATAATATTCTCACGACGTTTCGGCCACAACACAAGCGGCCTTCATCAGGTGAAGGGGGCGAGACTGTCTGGTAGGACAGCGCTGGAGTGAGAGAGCCACGTTCAGATCACGGCTTTTAAGCTGTGTGAGAGGAACAAAGAACCTTAGAGTCGCGGCATCTCTTCAGAAAGGTGAGAGACTCGATTAGTTGAGCCTTCTTATCCCGAAGTCTGTTGAATGATCTTAAGGATGTGTGGAATCCCTCCCCGTAGAGGCGGTTAAATTTCGATTTAAAGCTTTCGTGACTGCAATGATTCATCTTCTTTGGTTCTTTCGGTAAAGTCACGTAGAATGAGAATAAAATAATAAATTGATAAAATAAAATAACACAATAATATTCTCACGACGTTTCGGCCACAACACAAGCGGCCTTCATCAGGTGAAGGGGGCGAGACTGTCTGGTAGGACAGCGCTGGAGTGAGAGAGCCACGTTCAGATCACGGCTTTTAAGCTGTGTGAGAGGAACAAAGAACCTTAGAGTCGCGGCATCTCTTCAGAAAGGTGAGAGACTCGATTAGTTGAGCCTTCTTATCCCGAAGTCTGTTGAATGATCTTAAGGATGTGTGGAATCCCTCCCCGTAGAGGCGGTTAAATTTCGATTTAAAGCTTTCGTGACTGCAATGATTCATCTTCTTTGGTTCTTTCGGTGAAGTCACGTAGAATGAGAATAAAATAATAAATTGATAAAATAAAATAACACAATAATATTCTCACGACGTTTCGGCCACAACACAAGCGGCCTTCATCAGGTGAAGGGAGCGAGACTGTCTGGTAGGACAGCGCTGGAGTGAGAGAGCCACGTTCAGATCACGGCTTTTAAGCTGTGTGAGAGGAACAAAGAACCTTAGAGTCGCGGCATCTCTTCAGAAAGGTGAGAGACTCGATTAGTTGAGCCTTCTTATCCCGAAGTCTGTTGAATGATCTTAAGGATGTGTGGAATCCCTCCCCGTAGAGGCGGTTAAATTTCGATTTAAAGCTTTCGTGACTGCAATGATTCATCTTCTTTGGTTCTTTCGGTAAAGTCACGTAGAATGAGAATAAAATAATAAATTGATAAAATAAAATAACACAATAATATTCTCACGACGTTTCGGCCACAACACAAGCGGCCTTCATCAGGTGAAGGGGGCGAGACTGTCTGGTAGGACAGCGCTGGAGTGAGAGAGCCACGTTCAGATCACGGCTTTTAAGCTGTGTGAGAGGAACAAAGAACCTTAGAGTCGCGGCATCTCTTCAGAAAGGTGAGAGACTCGATTAGTTGAGCCTTCTTATCCCGAAGTCTGTTGAATGATCTTAAGGATGTGTGGAATCCCTCCCCATAGAGGCGGTTAAATTTCGATTTAAAGCTTTCGTGACTGCAATGATTCATCTTCTTTGGTTCTTTCGGTAAAGTCACGTAGAATGAGAATAAAATAATAAATTGATAAAATAAAATAACACAATAATATTCTCACGACGTTTCGGCCACAACACAAGCGGCCTTCATCAGGTGAAGGGGGCGAGACTGTCTGGTAGGACAGCGCTGGAGTGAGAGAGCCACGTTCAGATCACGGCTTTTAAGCTGTGTGAGAGGAACAAAGAACCTTAGAGTCGCGGCATCTCTTCAGAAAGGTGAGAGACTCGATTAGTTGAGCCTTCTTATCCCGAAGTCTGTTGAATGATCTTAAGGATGTGTGGAATCCCTCCCCATAGAGGCGGTTAAATTTCGATTTAAAGCTTTCGTGACTGCAATGATTCATCTTCTTTGGTTCTTTCGGTAAAGTCACGTAGAATGAGAATAAAATAATAAATTGATAAAATAAAATAACACAATAATATTCTCACGACGTTTCGGCCACAACACAAGCGGCCTTCATCAGGTGAAGGGGGCGAGACTGTCTGGTAGGACAGCGCTGGAGTGAGAGAGCCACGTTCAGATCACGGCTTTTAAGCTGTGTGAGAGGAACAAAGAACCTTAGAGTCGCGGCATCTCTTCAGAAAGGTGAGAGACTCGATTAGTTGAGCCTTCTTATCCCGAAGTCTGTTGAATGATCTTAAGGATGTGTGGAATCCCTCCCCGTAGAGGCGGTTAAATTTCGATTTAAAGCTTTCGTGACTGCAATGATTCATCTTCTTTGGTTCTTTCGGTAAAGTCACGTAGAATGAGAATAAAATAATAAATTGATAAAATAAAATAACACAATAATATTCTCACGACGTTTCGGCCACAACACAAGCAGCCTTCATCAGGTGAAGGGGGCGAGACTGTCTAGTAGGACAGCTCTGGAGTGAGAGAGCCACGTTCAGATCACGGCTTTTAAGCTGTGTGAGAGGAACAAAGAACCTTAGAGTCGCGGCATCTCTTCAGAAAGGTGAGAGACTCGATTAGTTGAGCCTTCTTATCCCGAAGTCTGTTGAATGATCTTAAGGATGTGTGGAATCCCTCCCCGTAGAGGCGGTTAAATTTCGATTTAAAGCTTTCGTGACTGCAATGATTCATCTTCTTTGGTTCTTTCGGTAAAGTCACGTAGAATGAGAATAAAATAATAAATTGATAAAATAAAATAACACAATAATATTCTCACGACGTTTCGGCCACAACACAAGCGGCCTTCATCAGGTGAAGGGGGCGAGACTGTCTGGTAGGACAGCGCTGGAGTGAGAGAGCCACGTTCAGATCACGGCTTTTAAGCTGTGTGAGAGGAACAAAGAACCTTAGAGTCGCGGCATCTCTTCAGAAAGGTGAGAGACTCGATTAGTTGAGCCTTCTTATCCCGAAGTCTGTTGAATGATCTTAAGGATGTGTGGAATCCCTCCCCGTAGAGGCGGTTAAATTTCGATTTAAAGCTTTCGTGACTGCAATGATTCATCTTCTTTGGTTCTTTCGGTAAAGTCACGTAGAATGAGAATAAAATAATAAATTGATAAAATAAAATAACACAATAATATTCTCACGACGTTTCGGCCACAACACAAGCGGCCTTCATCAGGTGAAGGGGGCGAGACTGTCTGGTAGGACAGCGCTGGAGTGAGAGAGCCACGTTCAGATCACGGCTTTTAAGCTGTGTGAGAGGAACAAAGAACCTTAGAGTCGCGGCATCTCTTCAGAAAGGTGAGAGACTCGATTAGTTGAGCCTTCTTATCCCGAAGTCTGTTGAATGATCTTAAGGATGTGTGGAATCCCTCCCCGTAGAGGCGGTTAAATTTCGATTTAAAGCTTTCGTGACTGCAATGATTCATCTTCTTTGGTTCTTTCGGTAAAGTCACGTAGAATGAGAATAAAATAATAAATTGATAAAATAAAATAACACAATAATATTCTCACGACGTTTCGGCCACAACACAAGCGGCCTTCATCAGGTGAAGGGACGAGACTCCAGCGCTGTCCTACCAGACAGTCTCGCCCCCTTCACCTGATGAAGGCCGCTTGTGTTGTGGCCGAAACGTCGTGAGAATATTATTGTGTTATTTTATTTTATCAATTTATTATTTTATTCTCATTCTACGTGACTTTACCGAAAGAACCAAAGAAGAACAACAATGTAGTTGTGTACAGCGTCATTCGTGCTCACTGTTCATTAATTAAACACGAGGAGCAAATCCTCTACACAGCCACTGCCAAGCAAATTAAATCTACAAATTAATAAACAAATAAAGAGACGGCGCCAAACACAAAAGGCGCCAACAATGTCCCAGCTGTTCAAGTCGTCTGCTGCTGCGTCATGGACGTGGTGACGTCACCACACACGTTCCCCCAACACTGTGACGTCACCATGCTTCCCCCTCTCCCCCACCCCCACACGCGCTCTCCCGACGCCCGCCCCTCACCACTGCACCATCCGTGAACACAAAGAGCTTCACAGCTCATCGGATTCCCCCTCCTGCAGCCTAAACCACGACTCTGACAGTGCGCAGCTGTGGCGGTGTGGGGCAGGTGGCTGAGTGGAGCAGAGAACTCGTCAGCTCCACTCCGTTGGTGGGCGTGGAGCGGGGTGGTGGTTGTGGTGGTGTTAGTGATGGTGGTTGTGTTGGGGGTAGTGGTGTTGGTGTTCGTAGTGGTGTTGGTGGTCGTAGTGTTGGTAGTGTTAGTGGTGGTAGTGGTGTTGGTGGTCGTAGTGGTGTTGGTGGTAGTGGTGTTGGTAGTGGTGGTGGTAGTGGTGTTGGTGGTCGTAGTGGTGGTGGTGGTGTTAGTGATGGTGGTGTGTTGGGGGTAGTGGTGTTGGTGGTCGTAGTGGTGTTGGTGGTAGTGGTGTTGGTAGTGGTGGTGGTAGTGGTGTTGGTAGTGGTGGTGGTAGTGGTGTTGGTGGTTGTAGTGGTGGTGGTGGTGTTGGTAGTGGTGGTAGTGGTGGTGCACCTTTAGCAATTTACTTTTAGCAATTTACAATAAAAAAAATCAATTGAATGCTCCTGTGATTCCTAATGTGAGGGACAAATGTAGAGGTCAAACTCTGCCAATGATTTTAATTCTTCAACTTTGCCTCATTCGCCGCAGGAGGAGCTCAGAGTCAAGAAGGAGGGAAGAGAGGAGAAGAGGAACGCGGCGGCGTCACGGACACGGACGCTCAGGGACGACTACCGGCGCGTGGAGGTACAGAGAGAGATGGCAGCCGCACAAATTCCTCTTCTGGTTTGCCTAAAGAATCGTATTTCATTAAACCTCGCTCTTGTTATACTCTTTGGTTCTTTCGGTAAAGTCACGTAGGTAGAAAACAAAATAGATCACGACGTTTCGATCGCAATTCTTATTATTGACGAGCACTGCCCCACGCGTCGGCGTGGGATACAACTTCGGTGAATTGCAAGCGGTGTGGATTTCAAGCGAATCGTATCCCAATGACAATTCGCTTGCTGCCTACTTTCAATCAAGACAATGAACGACATCACACTGTAACGAAGCAAAGTGTGAGTTCGTAGCTGTGTTTGTCTGTCAGTACTTTTTTAAATCTCATTTTTTGAGCGCATAACTTTTATGAAACGTTAATCTTCAATGAAATGTATTGCTTTTGTGTATTTTCACACATCAGGAAAAAAGAATGTGGGAAACATTACAACCGGTTTAGGATGGCCCCATTTGCAACACGTTTACTACGTGAATAGAGGCCACCACGGTGATGACACAGAAACTTCATTTATGACGCAACTTCCAACTTGACATCAGTTTTGGTTTGGGGGGCAGAATCGATCTACGCTGGATGATGCGTTGGCGACTTGCCCTGTTGATTTCTTTATTGATCACAACCACGATGCTTGCTATGGAATGTTGCAATTCCTCCTTCCTGGCTCCCACAAATCTGAATCGGACCAACTTAGCCTGAGTGTAAGGAAGAGTGGACGTGAGTATTGCCTTCGAAATCAGCATTGTTTGACTCTTTTAGCACATTTTAATTTAAAACCATCGAGCAATGTGACGTGTATTTGACCTTTGACACACTTTTCTGGGAATGTCCTCGGCAAGAGAATTGTTTCAGTTTAATTGGCATTTTCTTCCCATGCACCGTTTGGTAGATCCAGAGTGGGACGAACAGACAGACAGATGCGAGTGATATCCATGAAGATGTTTTTCATTTTCACCAGATAGACACTCAGCATCGTGTAGGTATAGAAAGACGTATTTTCTGTAATCTCCTTGAATAGGATATTTTATATCCCATTCTCATTCTTCCTGTGCTTTACATGTTCACGAGCTCCCAAAACACACGTCGCTCACCTCCGTGTACATAATCGAGGTAAGGTAACAATCATTGCCTGTACGACGCCACATTGCTTCTTTACTAACAAGTGACTCAACAACTCGGCACTGTCTGTGCAGGAGTCTCTGCGTGGGACCAAGGCGCGGATCAGCCGAGAGTTTGAGCGCCGGAGGGAGCAGCTGAGGGAGGAGGAGAGGGAGGCACTGGAGCGCGTGGACGAGGAGGGCCGCTCCGTGCTGTCCCGCATCCAGGCGGACATCGCTCGCTACGAGAGCAGAGCACACGGCCTGGAGCAGGAGATCAACCAGCTGCTCGCCGCTCTCGCCGTGCAGGACCCCCTCTCCTTCCTGCAGGTGGCACCACCTCCATTCACTCGCCAGGGTGGCTAGGAGATGTTAACTACCTCGCCTGGTATGCAGGAGGTCGTGGGTTTGATAACAACCCTGACGTCTGCTGCTGTATATTCGGAGTTTGCATCTCTCTCTCTCTTCTCGTGGATGCGTGGATTTTTGCAGGAGGTCGTGGGTTTGATAACAACCCTGACGTCTGCTGCTGTATATTCGGAGTTTGCATCTCTCTCTCTCTCTTCTCGTGGATGCGTGGATTTTTTCCGGGTCCTCTGGTTTTCCCTCCACATTTAGAATCGACATCACGCGTTTAGAGTATTTTGCTGCTATAAATGTACACACGATAAGCTACTTTCTTGAGTTATTATTTGTGGCAAGGTTACTTCTGAAGTAGAGCTATATAGCTCAGTGGCCTTACCTGGTAAGGTATAAAAAGTAGTTTATAGTTTATACTCACAGCCTTGGTTTATCAGAAGAGGATTTATCTACAACCAGCAGAGGTGCACCGCCCTGTGAGACGTTCACATTGTTGGCAAACTTATTTCAGTGTTTTCACGATCTGGGAGAAAGCGGCGGTGTCCATAAATAGACGCGCGTTTGCTTTCGTGTGACATTCAGACCTGAACTTGTCCAGTACAACATCGCCATTTACCTGGCCTGCTAGGCAGGAGGTCGTGGGTTTGTACCCAACCCTGACAATGCCTGCTGTAAATTTTGAGTCTGCGTCTCTCTCTCTCTCTGATCGCGTAGATTTTTTCAGGTCCTCTTGTTTTTCACTCCATTTAGAAACAACATCATGCATTCAGAGTATGTGGCTGCTCTAATAAATGTCCACATAAGCCAGTTAGTTGAGCTATCATTTGTGATAGCCAGCTCGCTACTGAACAAGAGTTAAAAAACACGAGTTGTTGAACATCACTTAACCATTTGTTTAGCTGCTAGACTAAACCTGCTAGGAGTGGCTTTGTCATTTGTTGGGGTCCGTGTCCAGTCAAAGGAATCCTGTTATTGATGAAAAAAGAATAATAGGTATTCTATGTTTTGAATTAAAGCTTTCGTGACTGCAGGAATCAATATCCTATGGTTCTTTCGGTGAAGTAACGTAGATTGAAAATAAATAAATAGACAGATAATAAAATAATAATTAAAATATATATAAATATCAAAAATATTAAGAATATAAAAAACTCACGAAGTTCGATTGAAACACAAGCATATGAATCCCTGCAGTCACGAAAGCTTTAAGTCAAAATTTAATAAGAATAGGCTTAACAGTACAAAGGCACACAGATAACTCTGTTTTTCACCATTCTCTGTTTGCAGGTATTTGTTAATTCCTTGATGTCGCACTCCACTAAATAGCAGGCGACTGTGTGGAGGTTTGGCCATCTGTTTATGATGTCAATGTAAATGTCAAATGCGGGTTTGTGTTTTTCAGGATCCCGTAAATGAGAGACTCAGGTCAGTACCAACCCAGACTCAAACTCGAGCTCTGTCTGCAACCTGGTGGACAAATCAGCAAACGGTCGTGATGTGAGTCCTAATAAACCCAATTGTATGCAGTTGTATCCCGCGTGGTAAATTGCATCCCGTACGGGCAGTCCTCGGGTTACGCACACAATTTGTTCCTGAGACTCATTCGTAAGTTGAACGGTTCGTAAGTCGGAATACAATAACGCACCCTATTTAAATGCCGACACGGTTATGAAATGTGTTGCGCTTCAACACAGAGGGAAGCATTGTTAGATTAATAATAAAGAATAAATGTTGTACATTTGCATCTAACAATGTAAAACAATATACTGTATAGTAAATTAAACATAATATAACATAATATGAATAGAAAGCAAACTTTGTTTTCACTTACATGTAGTCGGTAGAGGCGCAATTAGTCACCACAACAAACAGGGCACGCATGTACACACAAAGACAAAGACACCACAACGACAACAATCCCCCCGTGTAGCCTTCACAGGATGTTTGGGGCAAGTTCTCTCAGCGAGCAGCGCCTAAGATGGCCGCCACTGTGGCACACGAGGGGGTGGGTGGCCAGCGTCACGGCCCGCTGCTTTTGTCTCCCCGTTGGCGATGTCCACGCACCACACCAGGTACTGGTGTTGGCCGTGAGCAAGAATCGAACTCTGGTCGTCGCTTTCGTAGCGCAGCGCCGTCACCGCTACACTACCGCTCCCCACACCAATACCAATACCCGCCATTCGCCACTAAGTGACGGTGATGTTACCACGGCGCCTGTGCCAGGCCAAGTGCACTTTGAGGTCACGTGAAATGTCGAAGGCTCGCTGACAGGAGGTCTCGGGACAGACCCAGGTGCTATGGGTTGGCTGACAGAGATGACTGGTTGATGCAACAGCTGTACCCCACACACTTTTACACACCCACAATGTTCACACACACGCACAATGTTAACACACACGCACAATGTCCGTACACACACACAATGTCCGTACACACGCAAACACTCCCGGCACGAGGCGGACTCATTACATATGGCGGAGGATCGCTCCTCTGAACAAAATAGTTGCACGGTTCAGTTTGCAGCTGCGAGTTTGCATTTTAAGCCAAAGTTATTTTTTGACTTCATGGGAGCTGGTTTTTAAGTATGGGCGTTCACAAGTCGAGGGTTGCCTGGTTTGTCCATTTGCAGAGAGACATGGGCCCTCAATAGACTCTGTGTGTCCTGTGCTATGAGTGGTCAACCACGTTATGTATGCTGATGATTTGGTAATTGCTGCTCATTCAGAGGAGGAGTTGCAGACGCTGCTTTTGAAACTGGACCGTGCCACTCAGAGGTGGAGCCTTACCATCAGCCCCACCAAAACTAAGCACCTGCCTGGGTATTTTGTACCATCGGACACTCCACCCCCACAACTCCCAATCAGTGATGGGGCAGTTGTGGAGAGAGTGGAGAGTCTCCCATACCTGGGCAGTGTGCTCATGTCCGGCTCCAGTTTAACAGCAGAGGTCTCACTCCAAATCAGTCGAGCAGCAATATATTTTCATCGGGTGCGTAACGATATGTGGAAGATACCTGGTCTGTCGCTCTGCACGAAGCTTCAGATCTTCTCGGCCATGGTCATTCCCTCCCTTCTCTACGCTTGTGAAATGTGGACATTTAGGCTGGCCTGCCTACGGTCCATCCTGGATTTAACCAGGCTGGATTGTTTGAGGAGCTCACAAATCCTTGAAAGATCTGGGCAAAGTCCAATTGATGAGCTCCTCCGGCAGGCAAGGCTGTGGTTGGCTGGATCATGTAGCCCGCATGCCCATCCACCGCATGCCTAAACAGCTTTTGTTCGGCCGGATAGAGGGGTCTAAACGGGCGCACCACGGGCTAGAGAAGAGATGGAGTGATGTGGTACAGGAGGACGTGGAGCTGAGTGGACTTTCCGATGACCGGTACCAGCGGTGTCAAGATTGGCCTCTGTGGAGGAGGCTCGTGAAGGACGCTATTGGACAGTTGGAGGCAGTCGACCTCCAACAACAACAGAGGGCGGAGGAACGACGCTCACAACAACGAGCGGAGCGCCAGGTGACTAAAGCACAGCAAGGTGGTACAGTAGAGGGCACAGGTGGTGCATCAGCCAGTCATCTCAGTCATCTCAATCAGTCGACCTGTGGCACCAGGGTCTGCCCCGTGACCTCCTGCCAGCGGGCGTTCAACACTTCACGTGGCCTCAGGGTGCACGTCACCACCACTTAAAGGCGAATGGCGGTTTTTGGGTAGAGAGACATGGACCCTCATTAGACTCTGTGTGTGTCCTGTGCTGTGAGTGCAGGAGGAGCTCCGTCTCCCAGGAGACTCAGGATGACCCAGCCCCCGTCTCCCATGGTCTGAACCTCGCAAAAGTCATCTCAGTGGGTGGCGTCCAAACTAAGCTTCTGTCTTTTCTCGGTACGTCCTTCTGCCACGACGATCTTCGTTAGGCTCCATTACAGACTCCAGATTGCCTACAAATCCTACCCATTTGGAGGGCCTCCTTTATTTTACCCAGGCTTGAGGGCATTAATGCAGCGTGACCCCTTTGGCAAGGGAGACCTGCGTGCATTTTGGTCATGAAACGGGCACCGATGTGCTGGGTGAAAGATTGTCAACAACACGAAGGGTCTCACTCATCAGGAGTTGCAAACAACAACAGCAACGTGACAGTGCGTTACTTGAGAGCAAAAGGGCGACTTTGTAAGCTACGGACGAAGCACGTTCCAGTCCCGTCACGCTCATTTAGACGCTGACCATCACGCGTGGGTGCAGTGGGTTCACGGTTGGTTGAGGAAAGAAGCTGCTACGTGAGAATTAAGACGAACGAGAGCCAAATGATAAGTACCTTATTCTACTTAGGGCGCTAACTGCGGGAAAATTGGGATTAAACTGTTCAAGTAAAACGAAGTGCAGGATGGAGACAGCAGCTGTTTCATAATCGCGAAGGCAGCCTTCACAACCAGGACTTTAAAAAGTGCAACGGAATGTAAATGATTGACTGTGTCTCAGAGTTTCAGTGCAAGATCGTAATTTTTCTCCGGGTCCTCCGGTTTTTTTCCCTCCACGTTTAGACATCTGGATTTAGGGTATTTGGCTGCTATACATTTCCACGTGAAAAACCACTTTGATGAGCAATCAGCACGTGTGGCCAGGTCGCTTCTACGCAGTGCAGTGTGCATACCGCTACATTAACGCTGCTCACACTCATTCACCCACTCACTCACCTACGCACACCCCCCACTCACTGATACACAATGTGTGTGTGTGGATGTGAGAGTGTGCGAGGCTGTGACACACAATGTCTGTGTGTGGGTGTGAGAGTGTGCGAGGCTGTGACACACAATGTCTGTGTGTGGGTGTGAGAGTGTGCAAAGCTGTGACATACAATGTCTGTGTGTGGATGTGAGAGTGTGCAAGGCTGTGACACACAATGTCTGTGTGTGGGTGTGAGAGTGTGCGAGGCTGTGACACACAATGTGTGTGTGTGGGTGTGAGAGTGTGCGAGGCTGTGACACATAATTTCTGTGTGTGGGTGTGAGAGTGTGCGAGGCTGTGACAGACATTGGCTGTGTGTGGGTGTGAAAGTGTGCGAGGCTATGACACAATGTCTGTGTGTGGATGTGAGAGTGTGCGAGGCTGTGACACACAATGTCTGTGTGTGGGTGTGAGAGTGTGCGAGGCTGTGACACACAATGTATGTGTGTGTGGGTTTGAGAGTGTGCGAGTCTGTGACACACAATGTCTGTGCGTGGATGTGAGAGTGTGCGAGGCTGTTACATATAATGTCTGTGTGTGGGTGTGAGAGTATGCGAGGCTGTGACACACAATGTCTGTGTGTGGGTGTGAGAGTGTGCGAGGCTGTGACACACAATGTCTGTGTGTGTGGGTGTGAGAGTGTGCGAGGCTGTGACACACAATGTCTGTGTGTGGGTCTGAGAGTGTGCGAGGCTGTGAGACACAATGTCTGTGTGTGGGTGTGAGAGTGTGCGAGGATGTGACACACAATGTCTGTGTGTGGGTGTGAGAGTGTGCGAGGCTGTGACACACAATGTTTGTGTATGGGTGTGAGAGTGTGCGAGGCTGTGACACACAATGTCTGTGTGTGGATGTGACAGTGTGCGAGGCTGTGACACACAATGTCTGTGTGTGGATGTGAGAGTGTGCGAGGCTGTGACACACAATGTCTGTGTGTGGATGTGACAGTGTGCGAGGCTGTGACACACAATGTCTGTGTGTAGGTGTGAGAGTGTGCGAGGCTGTCCGGCAAAACAACCCCCTACCTCCTCGCGGTGCCGGACGGGCAACTCTGTCGTGGACAGCGCTGTGGGGGGAGATCCAATTTTGATTGGCTCCTCCCCTCATGGCATATGTGTCCACCACAGGGGCTAAACGGGGGCTCTGGACGGGTGCGAGGGGCTGGTAACCCCTCCACCTTCAATTAATTACCACGAAACCACGAATTAAACTGAAATATGTAACAACTAAGCTTGTGCCGGAGGCCCCGGGGGGCCAGGCGTCTATGACGTCTCCTGGCCAAACCCCAATTGGCGGAGCCAGGAGATTGAATACCTACCCTCGGGGCTACTCCAGAAACAACGAAAAGCCACTACGGGTGGCCACGTGGAATGTTCGAACGCTCACTGCAGAGGAGAGGCTGCCACTCCTCTGTCGGGAGCTGGACCGGTACCGCCTGGATCTATGCGGCATTCAGGAGGTCCGGTGGACCGGCTCTGGCTCCTGCCACCATGAGGGGTGGACAGTCCTCTACTCGGGGCAGCAGACTGCCAAACAACAGGGTGTGGGTCTTCTTTTGAACAAAAGAATGAAGGGGGCGTGGGAGCGTGGCGGTGAGGTGTGGGAAGCTGTAAGCCCCAGGCTACTTTGGGCTCGCCTTCCCATCAACCGGAGGCGAGGAATGGTGGTCGTGGTTACTTATGCCCCCACCGAAGATGAACATCCGTGGAGGGATGCAGGCAAAGCCGATGAGTCAGATGCCTTCTATGACCTCCTGTCACAGGTGCTGGCTAAAGTGACCCCTCGGGATAGAGTCATCATGTTGGGTGACTTCAATGCCCGAGTTGGTCATGATACTGGCACCTGGTCTGGAGTGATTGGAGGGCATGGGCCAGATCAGCTCAATAACAACGGTAGGAGGCTGCTAGATTTTTGTGCAGCCCATGGGCTTGTAATTACCAACACGCTGTTCCGGCATCGGCGCATCCACACAACATCATGGATGCATGCCGGGTCCAAGCAAGAACATCTGCTGGACTACATAGTGACGGACCAGCGAATGCGAGCCCATGTCCTTGACACCAGGACCTACCGTGGAGCTGATCTGCCCTCTGACCATCGACTAGTCATCTGTAAGATGCGCCTGCCATTCTTCCACTCCGGTGGTGGGTGTACACCCAGGACCCCATTCCAACCTAAAG